ACACAGACCAGAGTTAGTTCACTGCTAATGCTTCCTTCTTAGTGACCTACAAATTAGTAAACACTAACCAAATGGATACTGCACCAATGCTGCAGCATACTCATCTTGTCGTACTCCTGCCATTGGACTGTACATATTTAGGTATGGATAATTAGCATACGGCAATTGCGTTGTAGTGTAAAGTGCATGTGGTGCTTGCTGCAAAATTATTAAGAAGTTACATTTGAAAAACCAATACCAATAAGTTAGTGAACGCTAGAGATTATAACACATTCAAACTAAATCGAATGTCAGGTCAATATATTCTATGTATTTAAAATCATTATACATACTGAGTCTATTATTACTTACCTGCTGATGATGTAATGAAAGCGGTAACTTCGCCGCATTTCGATTATCGGATGCAGGATATGACATACAGGATGTATCAGCATATGATAAGCCTGATGTAACTGGCTGACGCTGAATTGTGTTTGCTTGATGCACTGCAGGTGAAGATTGAGGCATAGAAACATTACCGCTACCAGTTGATATCTGAAATGATATTCGAATTTATGTCTTATGTCATAATTTCTTCCCTTTATAATCTTGTAAACCCTATATTTTTGACACGAATTTCTCAACTTATCCTTCTGTTTAAATGACATCTCGCTTCTGCGCAATTTTCTTCCAAAGAAAAATCACAAAATTCGATAAGAATGTTAACGAAGCTTTCTATGAAGACAAATAAATAAACTTTGATCAAAATGACAACTTAGTGGGAAACTACATCGAAATATATACCTTCGATTGTTGTGAATTCATTGACGATGAATAATCACCTACTTGGCCATTTGAAAGCATGGATGATGAGTCCGCGTTCATTTCAGTCTGAAATAAAACTAATGTTTTGAAAATAATTTTATCGCTGCCTGCACACCCACTTCCTAATATTACTATCAGAATGCTGGGCTAGATAATTTGAAACATGTTTTTTTTTCGAATAATGAGAATTGAATGACCATGATCTACGCTTAAATTTTCATTTATGTTCCTTGAGAAATTTCACAACGATATTGGGTTGTTCACATACAAAGTGATATAAATGATGAATAAATGAGGACAATGTAGAGAAATCCACAGGCCTAATCCTATTATTTTACAAAAAACAAAAGACAAACATACTACTTTGGCAGTATGGTTATTCAAGGGCCGTGATTTAGCAGATGCACTGTAGACATCATCAGCATGCTCATCACTTCCCGTTGCTGAATCAACATGAAAACCGAACTGATATTCGGGTAAGGTTGGGCCATTTGCTTCTCCGGATACAAATTCCACAGTATTTGAATGGGTAGTATGCCGAGAAGCTGCTCGCGGAACTTGTCCTGCTTTCGTATTTTGTAAGGATGATTTGGACATTAAACCTGAATGATTTGCACTAGATTTCGTAGCAGGAGCAGTACCACCAATTCCAAGATCATTTTTCAATTGTGCAGTCCAATCTGCTGACGTATTTGTCACAGTGGTAACAGCTGCATTCGCTCGAGATTGTTGCGATGCCCCCGCTGTATGCATTGTCGTTCCCACAACAGAATTTGTTGATACAGATGCATCATGCCCAGCTAATGGTGATGTTCGAGTTTCACGTCCTTTATCTGTTTCTTCTGAAGAAGCTGATAATTGACCACTTGTTGAGACGAGCCCACTGCTGAAACAAGTTTTAAAATCAAGTGCTGAAAAATAATCTGAAGAAAAAGAAGCCATTACTTACTAGGATCGCATGCAAAAAGCAGCTTACTAAGAAAATATGCATCCAATTATATTGCTAATCTGCTTAAGGTTTCTTCATAACTATATGCATGCCATCCTTGTCAAATAATTTTCGTTTCTTATGAACAAGAAAGAACAATTTATAGTAATCATTATCGGGTTCAAAGTTTCCATACATATGAATTCTAAAGATCCCATTTAATTCCACAATGTTCTTTTCATCAGAATATCATGAGCACTAAAGAACTACTTTGATTACGAAACGCATTAAATCGTAGAAAGTCAAAAAAATCCAAATAATAAAGAGTACTTCTGATAAAGTGAATTCACATTCTCAAGTTGTGATTGTCCCAACGTTGGTGGTGCGCCTGTTCCAGAGCGACCCAGAGAATTTTTTAACGCATTTTCTTTTACTTTATTAGTTCCAGAAGCTGCAACAGCAGCAAATGACACTGGTCCAGAAGTTGTTATCGAGCTCATACCAGCGCCTGTATTCACCGTAGGTGTTGTAGTAACTGGTGGTGTGGTACTTCGTGAAAATACCAGTGTACCGTGTTGCTTCTGAAGGACTGAATATTTTCTTAAAGAAAATTTTAAAACCAGAATAGAGTAATATCAAATTTTAAGAGAAAACCGAAAAAGTGGAGCTATATTTAACAATCATACGAACAACCATACCCATTCCGTATCTTCAGCGTTATCGTCAACAGCAACTGCGCTTGCATTTTTCCATTCCTTACTAGGGTCTACCTTCAATGCCTGCGAATTATCCCAAACGTTACTTGCTGTATTACTGCCAAGCTGTCCTTGAGATGACGGGTGATGATATCCACCTCTATATGGACCTCGACCACCGCCACGCCCACCTCGATAACCATTACGCCCTCGTTCTACTCCTCGCCCTCGTCCATATCCTAATAAAATGAATTTTTGTATAAATTTTGTATTTTTATATGTGTGGTGTTTGCAGCTATAAAAAATCCAATAAAAAAAGCAATAATAAATCCAATAAGCTTCAAAAATAACCGCTAAATATTAACAAATTTCACATTTCCATTACAATATGACTTATATTTCTTTAAAAATTATGCAACACAAAATATGAGTTTAAATACACAAATTTTGGCATTTAATGTCGTGGTACCATTTCTACCTAACATGCGTTACTGAGTGGGTGGAAAACTCAATAAGACTAGCAAGAACTATCCTGCTAGTATTAGTTACCTCAAAAGTAAACAATACATAATAGTGATAAAGATAAACAAGAAAGAATACTAAAAAAGTGCTACCAAAATTAGTCGAAGTTCTTGTACTGTTAATTCTGTTCCTATGAGAATTCGATTCCTCATGCTTTAATTCCTCAGCTTCGGCTCGTTTTGCTCGCCTGCTTTTTTGTTCTTTCCAGACATTTTCATCTGGATAATTATCTTCCAAAATGGCATTTACTGCTTCTTGAACATCGTTATTATTATCGTAAAGAGCAATTTCAGCTTGACTTACGGTACATCTTGTTGTCTCCACTACCTAAAATTTGCGCATTCAGTATTCAAACATCAGACTTGCTGATGAGAAGATTTGATTATTCAAAAACCGTATCTTATGTGGAACACATCGCAATGATTCTGCAAGGATTCACTACAGGTTTTAATTACAGAGCGAAATTAGCCTCGAAATCACATAAGAATACTAGTAAATGATTTTTACCTTTTTCACAAGCTTCTGTATATTTGCACGATCATCATCTGTTATGGACAAGTCCTGGGTTAATCTGGCAAGCCGTAACTGGTCTTGTGTAGCACGGATCTTTTGATCGCCTACTTCACCTTTGCCGCCCATTTTATATCAAATTCAGCAACTGGAAATCAAACCTGAAGTGATTTATTTGTGGTTTTATACCACTTATACTTTTGAACATCGCCAAACATGAATCCAACCCAAAAAATCCACCAAATTTCCGATAAATGGAACTTGAAGACAACATATTTGAAAAAAAATATCAACAATGAGTCTTTGTCTTGTAATTGATTCAATCGACGAAAAAAATTGATGACATCACATGATCACAGACAAATATTATTAGCATGTCCATTTTATTATCTAGCAAAAATAATCTCAATAAATGACTTCTAAATCCAATGCTGAAATAAATTCTACCAAACAACGGAGAAAGAGGTGTTTACACACAACACAGCCATGCATTATGCAAATTGTGGAACACAAGTGCATGTGAGTGATGTTATATCTTGTTTGAATGTCCACATGATCACTTCGACGTACGAACACGTGAAAAACCCCGCCCAATCTAGCGTAATCACCAAGTCATCTAGCCCGTGTCCAATATGCAACTGCTCTCTCTCTCTCCCCTTACCCATACTGACAGATTCCTGAATTTATCAAAGTTATCGCTTTAAGATCCGTAGCAAAGCTATAATTTTAAACATCTTTCAAATAGTTTACTTTCCATTGCTACAGCACTAAAGCAATCTATTCCACGTCTTTCACACGTTTTACGGATAGCTCCACGTGGTGTGACACGTGATACACGCATAATTGGTATAGCGTTGTTTTAGATGGCTTCATTATAGTCTATTTATTAATGGTTTAAATTATCATTAGTAAAGCGTGAATTCATTAACGATTACTTATTTGTCAAATTGAAAAATACCATTTAAACGGATTGGGAAATTTTCAAATTTTTCTACCGGATTTTGCAGTGATTGAGTTATTCCGTTTGAATAGCCTCTCTGTACCAAATGAATCTCCCTAAGTGTTACCACGTGTCTCAGTAAATGTCACGCAACAGTAAAACAATTTGTAAGAAATTTCCTTAGATTTGAAACTTCAGAATATCCTGTCATTGAGTAAATACAAATATTGTTTATTCTCATCTTCTGCTGAACATTCGTAGTGCATAATTCTACTTTCGCAAGCAGAATTATGCACTACAAATACACGAAATTATGAAAATGAAATTTTACGATAATGATTAAAATCTGATAATAATGATTTATTAGAACCAGTATTAAGTTGGTAGATGATCATCCCTGAAGATTACATTTCAGTAAGATATACTAAAACTTATTACGCCTTCGAAGAAGTTTCGTGTATTTGTAGTGCATAATTCTGTTTGCGAAAGTAGAATTATGCACTTCAGAGAAGAATATATTTAGAAAATTTTAAGAATGGAGCTAACAAAAATTCGAAAAGTTGTATTCATTATGTTCAGCATTTCAGGACTGATTCAGTGAATGGCTATGAAGAAGCAAGCATCTCTACTTTCATTTTTCACCAGAAGTCCAAATCCGAAAAACGCGTTGCAAGATGAATCCATCGGAAATCAAACGGTCAGCGAAATTTTAATCCATTGAAAAGAATCTTATTATCCATTGAAAAATTGTATTGAAAAGGAAAAAAAAAAAATGAATCTCCAGTAAATAAAAGAGCAATGTTCCGATGAAAAGAGTAGTTCTAAATTATCGATTCGCAACTTGGTCTCTCCCTGTAGATTCGAAGGTGTGTTCCCACCTTTTAGAGATCAGTTAGAATAAAAAAAAAGAATAAATCAGCAGAGAATTAGAAGAAATGTAAAATAAGAAGGAAATAGCAAGTTATTTTGGAAATTGAATTAATGGTCAGAAATAAATTTAAGTAATGTAACATGAAATACTGATAGAATGAGCTATCAAAATTAAGGAAATTATTACTCGATTCAGAATTTCTGGTTAAAAGGACTAAAAATCAGCATATATTCTATTGGTCACATACTTTTTAAATGTATTTAGTTGTAGTGCAGTTCAGTACTTCAAACTTTGAATTCCTAATTTTTGTGTTTTATAAATAAGAATTTATGAAACCCGATATTTTGCAGACTAGTTCTACTCCTCCCAAAGTTTCAAAAATGCAGAAGAATATTAATGGGGACAATGATATCCGGATGGAAGATGTCACTAAAAGTGCTTAATTTAAATTATTTTAAATAGTTTTTAAAAGACATTAGCATACTAGACTTATTTGAAAAAACGGATTTTGTCGACAATGGAATTATAGCTAACTTTGATTCATTTCCATTATAAAATTTTACATCCGCAAAAACGCAAAAAAAAAAGTTTTTCATGCAGATCTACCAAATATTACAGTTGTTAACATGACTTATTTATTTCGAGTTAGTTCTGTACAAGTGAAGAAACTAAATTTAATGAATCAGATAAATTAAATTAAACTTCTGAAGTTTTAAGGTCTTTTTCAACTAATAGGTTGTATTATCCACAATACTGGTGTCTTAGATTTGATGAAAAAAAAATCTAATTTATATTGTATGCATTCATTGAGGTCCACATTCGAAAAGAGCATCAAATGAAGAGCTATCATTAGTGAAAAAGTCATGCAAAAAACGTCGCCGTGTGGTGGTTTCATCAGATTCAGAAGATAATGATGTTGAAATGATGGATATGAAACATAATGAGGAAAATATAAAACAAAGCATAAGATCTAAGTCGGTAAGAAGCAGTTTGTCCAAATGGTTTATAAAATTTTTCATTACCGAACCATAACAGTAGTTGAAATTTTGAGGCGAAAAGTAAATTGTAAAAATAAATTGGAGTTATTGGAATTCGAAATTTTGACCTTAAATACCTTGACAAGAAGTTACTTTGCACTTGGTTCGAAGCGTATTGGAGTTTCATACATTAATTATATAGATCTAACATGAAAAAAGGAAAAAAAAACTTAGGTTTGAATTATATACTAATGACCAGCTTAAAATTTGGTTCAGAAACTTTTTTTTTTTTCTTTTAGAAGTCTCCTGAAAGTGAAAATTGTTCTTCGGAAACCATATCTTCAAAGCATGATGTGAGCGAGATGGCTATATCCTTTATCAATTCATTTCGCGCCACAGAGCAGGTCTGTGTTAAGTAACTAATTGATTCTTTTAATAAACTGACAAAATTACTCATATTTATTTCCGTGGATCCTGAGCAAAGTTTAAAATAAAAGATGCTTTAACTAAAGGTCTTTCTCACATGAAGTCAAATATACGCTGAGTAAATATTTATAAAGTTTTGTGAATGCTGAGCAAACACTTAAAAAGTTCTATGAATATGTGTTCTGAACCATCCTACATTACCAGTAAAGATTCGAAGTAAACGAAATTTTCCAACGTGAAGTAAACGAAATTTTCCAATTCAAAGTCCTCAGGAATTTAATAAATGTTAGTTGCAATTAATTTTTTAGTCATGTGTATTTAGGATTCATCTGTGTCATCAAAATTAGATCGTTCAAGTGATAGCGATATGCCGGATGAAAACGCATCTCCTGCATGTTTGGATACTGAGACCGATGTTGATTCTATGCGGTTTCCTCATTTAGACTTCGATTTTCTTCAACCAGATCGCATTCGGGATGCAGATAAACGTTTGCGTAGTCATCCAGATTATTGTCCGCGTACTTTATTTGTACCGGATGCGTTCATGAAAAAGCAAACGCCGGGTATGATTTCCAGCAGACTATAAAGTTTGAACCAGTAAAATTTGAAGATTTAGAGGACTAAAATAATAATAATAATGATGATATATATTTAGATTTCGACCGGCTTTCTTATTTTTCATAAATAACTGTTTTATTATAAATGATGACCTTCAAAGTATTTTTAGGACATCGACAGTGGTGGGCAGCTAAATCGGCTTATTTTGATACAGTATTGTTTTTTAAAGTTGGAAAGTTTTACGAAATGTATCACATGGACGCTGTAATTGGAGTCGAAAATTTAAACCTCAATTACATGAGGGTCAGTTAAATTTTAACTGATTTAATAAACTATTCATTGGCTCGTTTCTAAATCATTTTTAATGAAAGCCAAACTTGTAAAAGAGGTTGTCAAAGTTGGATTTCTTCAGGGCAGTTTTGCGCATTGTGGATTTCCAGAAGTTGCTTACGGTCGTTTTGCTGATCAGCTGGTTAATCGAGGATATAAAGTTGCCCGTGTGGAACAAACCGAAACACCAACGCAGTTGGAAAATCGAAATAAAAGCGAGAAAGTTAATGACAGAGTTGTGAAGAGGTATGATTTAATATAAATAGTTCACTGTTCCGAAATCTTTTTAACACAGTCGATCTCAGTTCACATTATTTAGCTTCAAGGTATAAAATATCAGTTATAAATTTTAGAATATTTTACATAATTGCATCACTAATTCTTATTGCTTTATTATGTGAATTAGCTTTTGCTATTTGTTCTCGAAGAAATATAATTTTTTTTGCAAATTTGATACTTCTGCGTGCACAGTGTTTTGCTTTCTAATGATTTAGAGAAGTGTGCAATATTACTACCTCGGGCACTCGGACATACGGAGTACTTGATGGAAATGATGATGAAAACATTATAGATGTGATGGACACAACAGCACGCTACTTGTATGCTATAGCTGAAAGGGTATTTGAATTTTAACAGTAGACTGACTTTCATTACTTTGTTTTGATTGATTAACTAGCCCAAATAAATTATTTTCAGGGTACAGAAAATGTAGAATATGGTGTCTGTTTCGTTGACACTACCGTTGGTCGATTTTACGTATGTTTTTGCCTAAAAACCTGAAAAGTCGAAAAAAAAAAACTATATTACGTTTTCAAATTGATATCTTTTAGTCATCTCACCTTTTTCATCTTTTAAAGAACCATTTCAGATTGGCTGCCTCTCAGACGGCAGTAACCGTTCTGCTCTGAGGACATTATTTTCCCATTATCAGCCAGCCCAGGTTGGTCGTTGAACTTACTAAAACAAACAATTTTTTTAAATTAGATTCTGTTTTACTAAAATCTTTACAGATTTTATATGAACGAGGGCGAGTTTCGGCATTAACACTGATCATATATAATACTACTGTAAATGCTGTGCCAAAAGAGGCGCTGGTTTCGAAGAAGGAATTTTTAACATCCGAAAGCACTTTGAAGCTGGTAAGGATTATTTCAGCATATAGAGAAAACTTATTCAAAATTTTTTAAAATATCCAACCTCTCTTCTTTTTATCCTGTTATAATGCTTACATTTATCTTGTTATATTATGCTTATTTTTCTTTTGAAATGATTTGGCAAAACGATATTTGTATTATAAGCTGCTAAGATAAACAACTTCTTCTTGGAGTTAGTCAAGGAATATTGAGGGAATTGAAGTTAAGAATTTATTACAGTTATCAAGTGATAAATACTTTGGCGAATTATACGATAAGTGGCCTGTAGTTTTACTCAATATGATCGATAGAGATAGTCTTCCCTTAAAATGTAATCCTACGTACGATGCATGCGTCTCAGCTTTAGGAGCTATTATTTGGTTTGTTCACTTAGTATTTCATATTCATAGCCAGTCTATTGAAATTCACTATAGTTTGTTTTTTTCTTCATCTTTTCGATATTTGATTTCTTATAAACAATTAGATTTACTCGAGAAATCTCGTGATGAAATTTTTTAGGTAGAAAATACTTCAAATTTCAGGTATTTAAGGAGGTGCTTTATTGATGTTGATATGATTTCAATGCGAAGGTTTGAATTATACAAACCTTTGAATCTTGAGGGAGTTCTAGAAGATGAGGTTAATTTATATTGTTACCTTTCCAATCAGTTACACCATGCTTGCATACTGATCTTTATTTCTATATTGTTTTTGTAATTTTGACTTCTTTCTGTTGCATTTGCAACAAATTATCATTATGATTTTTGATGTGGTAAAGTCTGGTAAATTTGATATCCGGCAAAACCTGAATTTTTTTAAGAATGAGATTGATGAAAAATATTGGAGTGGACGCCGCCTTATTTTGGATAGCCTTGCTTTGAAACATCTCAATATCATCCCGCCTATTAGTTCAATGCAGAAATTTACACTGTGCGATCCAATTACAGCAAAATATGCGCTTTATAATGTTATTAATAAATGTACTACACCGGCAGGTATGTTTTGCCGAAGTGTTTGGAATAGTAGCAAAAATTTCTCAGCGAAGGTGCTACTTATATTTTACTTTCAAAAATTCTTTTTTGTCTCTGAACAGTTCTGCAATTGATTTGTAATCAGTTTCAGGTAAACGTCTTCTTCGACAGTGGATTTGTGCCCCTGTTTGCGATCGGAAGATCTTATGTTCACGACAAGACGCAATAGAATGGCTTTCTAAAGCGAGATTGAAGAGATTTATTGATAAAGCTGTGGAACTGTTACGCAAAGTACCTGACCTGGAACGCTTAATTCAAAAGTGAGCTTTATTCTTTGAGATCCAATAGATTTTATTGGAAATATGTTTTTTCTTTTCCAGAATACACACATTAGGATTGAAGTACCGAGCGGAAGAGCATCCTGACAGTCGTGCACAGATGTTTGAAACAATGCGTTACAATAAACGAAAAATTCGAGATTTGATCCGAGCACTAGAAGGTTTTGAGCATGTACAAGATCTTCGTATAGAATTTATGGAACATTTTGGCAAGAGTCAGGAAACAATGTATGATTTCAGATTGCAAGTGGCAGAAATTTGATAATGTAAAAATCACTTCAAATCAGTAAAAGTTTGCTGAAAACGTTTCATTTCAAAGTCTTAAGATTAATTTCAAAGTTAAAGTATATGAGATTAGTTAGCATGTTACTAAGAATAAGACCGTTTACATTTTGTTACTCTTTTGATTTGAGTTGCATTCACAGTTGATTTCAAAACTGCTCAGTATAATAAGATTGATTAGTCACGAAAGTAGGGATTAAGTTATTTTTGTTTGATTAAATATAAATGATGACATTTATCAAATCAAAAGTTATTTTAGTCCTTCACTGTTGGAACGTTGCTTTGGTTATCAGTTTCCCGATATTTCGGAAGATCTTCAGCATTTTAAAGTTTGTTAACTATTTCATTTATCTTAGTTAATGAGAGAAGTCATGATTTCTATAATCAATCTGTCTTTATTCATGTATTATCCTATTTTCTTTTAGAACTTGAGTGTGCTTTATAAGCTACATTCCATAGCATTGTATTTCATAGCATGGAAAGTCTTCCATATCTTCTTCATTATGCACTCGTAGTTCTTACAATATTTATTTTATTGTTTTAATCCTAGCTAATTAACCCAGCTTCTTCTGGTGCACATTTTTCCCACTGCACATTGACCAAAATCGAATTATTTTCGCTACATTGGAACCTATTTAGTTCCATTTCTGGTTAAATTAAGTTGTTAGACTTATTTCTTTAGCTGTTATGGTGGTGTTAGTTTTTTAAGATATCGGTATCATTAACTCATTGTAGAAAATATTTCCTTAATGTGCTTTATTCTTATGTAAAATTTTTGAGTGCATATTATCATTGAGGAGCTCCTCTTTTCATATCTCAGTTTAAATGTGACGATTGCAGAGTGCATTCAATCGTGATAAAGCTCTAGAAGACGGTATTATCGTACCAGAAAAAGGTATAATTAAGGAATACGATGATGCGATTAGTAACGTAAAGGAATGCATTCATGAATTGGACTTGTATTTGAATGTCATCAGGAAGCAACTGCATTGTTCTGTAATCTTTTTGCTTATCGTGAAAATGAATAGTCAGGAATTATATGTTAACGCAATCATTTAAAAATGTAGAAGTCATTTGTTTTCAATTTCATAACTATTAAAAGTTTTCAAATGTTTCCAGAACATCAATTTCTTTGGTAGCGGACGATCTCGTTACCAGCTTGAAATACCAGAAGAGATTGCTATGAATTTGAGCCATGAATTCGGACTTAAATCCTCTCGAAAGGTTAGACATTGTTAACTAAATTCCTCTTCTCCGTTGTATTTCCCTCCATTTATTTGGTGTCATTTTTTGAAATAGGGATACAAACGGATGGTAACGGATGAGCTGGTGAACTTAGTTAAAAATTTGGACGAAGCCGAAAATCAGCTTGATATCTTACGGCATGACATCATGCGGCGTATATTCGCTGATTTTGGCGACAGGTTGGTCAAATTTTTAAGCAAATGATGTTACTCGATTATTTCGGAATAATGGAATTGATTTCAGATTTGATTTCAGAAATGAATGTAAGTACATGTTTTATAGCTATATTTCATAATAGTGGGGTAGCGATACATTAAGCTATTTCGATCTTTGCTGGCTTGGGACTGGGACTATTCAAAACAATGATCTAAGGTTATATGGGCAGTTCGGTGAATTTAAATCACTCTTGGATACTTAATGTTGGTAATCGACATGAATATGAATTTTGATTTCGCGCTAAGTCACACGGCAGCGGTGAAATCGTTGAGAGCTGGAGACTAGTGAATTGTGGTGCATCTTAACACGCATCTCATTTTCTTGTTCATCGTTGCTAATCATGACTTATGATGATAATTATCTTAAACTGAAGTGAATACATGCAGCAGTAGTGTGACATATTATTTTTACACAGACTTTTTTTGCAGATTCTGTGATAATAGAGTGCGGTTATTTCTTCGATAATAATTTGACATTTGCATTAATCTGTTTAACTTTGAAACTTCATCAGCATCCAATTGATATAAATTAATGGGCCGCAAAAATTTACAGTTTCAGAAAGTTTTAGAAAAAAATTTCAGAAAAAGAAAAAAAATATGGTCTATTAATATAGGGTTAATAGAGAAAATGTAATAATTAAATCAATTTTTTGCATTTGAAGATCCACCAAATGGACAATGGCTGTTGAACGAATGGCCACATTCGACGTACTTCTTTCTTTAACTCGTTATGGTCAAGACTGTGGTCTAAATATGTGCCGTCCACAATTTGTTTATGATAGTAAGCAGGTATAAATTTATTTGTTTGTAGATTATGATTTATAAACTTATTTATTTATATTTGTGGTGTTTGCAAATAATCGAAATCTAGTTTTGTACTAATTTATAGAAAACTTGAAAATTAAGTTAATGAGTGGATGTTGAAATTGTTATTTGTAAAATTACTGTTGCATTGAATGATTAATCTTTAAATTAATCGTTGATTATATTTCCAGCCTATATTAGAAATTAAGTCTGGATATCATCCATCGCTTGCTGCGATGGCTGCTTCGGGTAGCAGTTTTACATACATACCAAACAGTGTTTTATTGGGAGGAAATGAACCACCAATAATTCTGCTGACAGGTCCAAATATGGGTGGGAAATCAACACTAATGCGTCAAGTTGGTGTACTGGTTGTGCTTGCTCAAATAGTAAGTGCTTTTTGTTAGCTGCAGAAAAATACATATTTATGATCGGGATCTGAATAAAAAGGTTTGCACAATATCGTTTTATGTAATATTTGGTAAATATTGCAGACTCAGTACACCATTTCATCCTGATGATGTTTTAATGTCATTATTTGTTAAAGATAAATTATTACCTGTTAAAGATAGAGGGTCTTTAATAAGGTTAGAAATTGACGATCGTATTCAGAAATTTTTTATTATACTTTTATTTTTTTAATAAAATTTTTTGTTTTTTTTTTAGTAAAAAAATAATAAAGTGTTTATTTTCTTACCTGAAAATTTTCAGGTTCTACTAAGTTTTTTGTAAAATTAGTCCTAAAGATTTTCAGCGTTGCCTTAATTTTAGTTTCGGTTATTATTTCATCTGAACTACAAACTTAGACTAAGTTAAAATTTCCAAAGTTATTCTTTGTTTTTTTTTTTCATGTCTCTCCTTATTATTTAAAAAATACCGCATTACTGTATTGTAGGGTAGCTTTGTCCCTGCGAATGAAATGAAACTCTCACCAGTTGATCGAATATTTACAAGGATGGGTGCAGGTGATCGAATTACTACAGGTTGACATTCATTTGGGGTTTCAAAAATTTTAAGATATTAGTATTGTATTTTCAAAGTTATATTTCAGGGCAGTCTACTTTCTATGTTGAATTATATGAAACAAATTTGATTTTGCGAAATGCAACCAAACATTCTCTTGTTATAATGGATGAACTCGGTCGAGGAACAAGGTTACATTAGCATTTTCATTTATATTTATCGTAATATTTATTACGTGATATTTTTCATATTTTGTTCTCTTCTTGCTAATCTAGTTGTATATTATCCATTTACAAGCTGTTAGAATTTTATTTGCTTCTCTTCCAGTTATGTCATCTACTCTAATTGCAATCCTGAAAAGTTCATGATGCATGTTAGTGATTATCTTATAGCAATTTTGTGATTTTTAGAAAGCTAATTTTTTCTATCAAAATTAATACTGTTATAGCACTTATGATGGCACCGCTGTTGCATACGCAGTACTGCTAGATGTAGCAACCCGGCTGAACTGTCGTACTTTTTTTTCTACTCATTATCATACTTTGTGCAAAGCAGTTGAAAATGTTACGAGCATTAAGGCAGCACATATGGTTGGTTTTCTATTGAAAATAGCAGTAACAGAAATATCTCTGCAATTTTAAGTTAACTTTCCAAAACTAATGACTGTTTGTTTTTGATAAAGCATTCATTATAACTAATCATCCTTCATAACTTGATTGTATGTCACCACAGTTTTAAAGTACCCTTCTCTTAAAAAACACCGATATCTAAGCTTAAACTTATTGAAAGTGCAGCTATATTACTTTTAGCCATAGAAATACATCCCTTTGGGTGTCCTGTCATATTTTCGGTTTCATGCCGATGTTTTTTTTTTTCTGAATTTCTATGCTTTTTGTTGATTTTATTCATAGATGCCACGAGAAATAATTCTTTTGGGAAAATATTACAAGTGAGTAGTGATACGTTTCATCTTAGTTATATAATGGTAATATTATATTATATAGTTATATAATGGTAGATACCGTTATAATTCTGTTAACAGTTATATTTTATATATATAGCAGTTTTGTTCGTTTTTCTTTAATTTGCTGAAATTTAAATTTAGGTACTTTTTCAGGCTTGCATTGTTGAAAATGAAAGTGCTGAAGATCCAACAATGGAAAATGTTACCTTCCTATATACGCTAGCCGATGGGATGTGTCCAAAATCTTATGGATTTTTTGCTGCTAAAATTTCTGGTCTCAGGGCAGAGGTATTTGAATTTTTTTGTTACTTTATGACAGCTTTTAACAAATTTTTGTGGAAATATAGTTAAACATTTAAAACATAAGCTTCAGGTTATTCGAGCTGCATCTATTGCTTCACGTCATCTTGATGAAAGAAAAACACGAAAGGAACGTATTGCGGAATTACGAAAACTTGCACTGAATAAGGAATGTAGCACAGCACAACTTAGGGAAACAATTAATTCAATGTTCATTTCATCATGAAAATTTTTTGGAAGACAGGTGTTTTTCCTATCTAGCTTTTAGAATAATATTCATTTCATTTTTCTGTTATTGTGTTTTGTTATTTGTTGAAATAGGTCCTTATTTTTTAATGATTCAGAAACGCGCACCATTCTGGAAACATAAACTTCGTTAACCTAATATTCGAAATCTAGAGTGTTTTGAATCTCATAATACATTATTGATGAGTCATTTAGTAACGTCTGCATTTGTTCGTTGTTCAGGCTACTAGTGATGTAAATCTGGTAATTTTCACCAGTGAAGCGGGTTTAATTTTTCTGAAACATATATTCCTTCATGCTTAGTCATTATTTAAGCGTAGTTTTTTTCATGTTATGCTGCTTGCGTTATGTTTTGTGTAGCTTGTAGAATGCTGTAGCAAATTGTACCTGTATCATTGCTACTGTTAAATGAATTACTGCTTATGATGATCGTTGAGTTTTTTTTGACTATAAGTACGTAACATATTTATGTGAGCGACATTGAAATTTATCTAGAATTTAATCGTATAACAAATGTATTTAGCAAAGATGTACATCTGCTGTAATGTTCCGATCTCTTAGATTTCGTCACTGTTGTTATTTCCACAAACTTTCACATTTGCTCTCAATTTGATCTGATATTCTTTGATTTTTTTTTTTTTTTATTATCGTTGATTCTATTTAAATGAAATATTTTTTCGATAATATTCAGTCAGTCCTATTGAGAAAATTGAATTCTGTAAATAATACGTGCGAATTTTGCAAATCCTTTTTACAAATCCATGTGAAATTATGTTACATAAAAATTGAATTTTGTTTTGCTTTTTTTATTTTTTTGTTTCATTACATCCATACAAGCAATACTTTATTCTGAAAGAATATGATGAGCAAGTATTGGTAGGTGATTTTTACATCAGTTTCTACACTTCTTTATTTAATTTACTATTTAAGCCTAGTAAAATTTGAATTTGAAGTGACATTTTTTTAAAAAATTGGTCATACTAATATATGGAACTTCAAAGGATGGGAAAATCGTAGTGACGACGATAGCATGAATTACACTGGCTTACTGCTCGGCAAGGGTTTTTCTTTTTGGGAAAAAAATGGTTCCATAAAGCTACCAGGAGACATCAATGTACAATGGAAGGATTATCGAGAAATTGTTCAGGTACGGTTCTAATAATACAAGAGGTTAATTTAGGAGGAAGGGATTACGTCCCAACTAATGGCAGATTACAAGCACGAGTGTTGATGGCACTACTTCATCTTTGGTGATTTTTGCTGTTAATATCATTTATTGTAAATTTTTAGCCAGACAAAGCAAGTTTCTGGGTTATGCTAGGAAGCCTGCTTTTATTTATTGTATGGATTGTTTTCATAACATATTACATGTCTCGAATTATTGGCCCAATCATTGCATTTGTGCTTACGCGAATTGCTCATCTGAAAGGATATGATGTACAAATTTCGATGGGTGAATTTTAAATCAGTTTTTTACACTTTATTTAATTTACTGTTGTAATCAAATAAATTCTACTTCTTTTTGGAGTTATTGATTTTTGTCTTAGTTTTTGGGAAAAGATTTAAAAAAATAGATGCAAACATTTGAAAAGTTCTTCGGCAAATGAGATTTATATGTGGTGTACCAAGTTGATTTACTTAATTTTTCCTTAGTGGTATAAAAATTTACAGTATTACAAAAAAAAAAAAAGTTTTCAATACGTTGCAGTCTACTGAAGAAAAGATATGTGAAGTAACATATATGCTTCTAGTTGCATAACTTTTACTGAAATGATAGATATATTCCTGTTTCTCTAAATTTCGATGTATTGAAATTACAATTCTCTTCATTACATTTAATTAAAGTTGTTCAATATATGTTGTGTTTTAAATGTTTATTAGGATCCTATTTATTTTCTTTTTTTTTAAATAAGTTTTTTTGTTTTTTGTTTTTTTTTTTTTATCCGATTCAGTGCTGTACAGACATGTTTTTTATTTTTTTAAGTTGATGGTTGTTACTATGTTACTATCTGTTGGAAAATCCATTTTTTTCAGGCTCATTTTCTATAAGCTTCCTTTCTGGTAAAATAATGTTTCGCGATTTTCGATGTATGTGTCAAAATTTCTTATTCTGTTGCAATGATGGATGGATTATCTTTTCATATTGGAATTACATTCCATCAGATTATGCACATAAAAGGTTTAATAAAAATTTTCAATTATAATTTTTATTTAAACGAAAAATGTTACATTTGGTCGAAAAATAAATAATATGTAAAAATTTTCAGTAATATTTCGAGATTGCATATATCGTTAAATGGCTTGCAATTGCATATATATAATCGCTTATCAAAGTATCGATCTTTAGCTAGATATTTTGGCCTCGAAAAATTGTTTATTCCTTTAAAAGATGAAATTGATATTAACAAAGTACGACGATTTACCAGTAAGCAAACATATTTTTATTTACATTATCTATGAGATGTACGTTTGTTTTCAGAAAAAAAGATTTTAAGTTGAATGCTGGAAGTATCTTATGAACGTCGGATCATATCATTGGAGTTTTTTCTTGATTTGAACCGATTAAATTGTTTTAAATTGCTTTGTCTTTTAATTTGATTTTTGGAATTTTTGCAATTTCAGCGGAAAAAGAACTGGAATGGGACAAATACTACGATAATTTCTGGTCTTTAATTGGTTATGTTAAATTAGATATCAGTTCGGGACGCTTGGTTGCTGGAAACTCACTTTTGCCGTCAATGATTGTCTCATCTTTTGAGAACTACACGTGTAAGTTAATTAAATAAACTTTTACAAAAGGCAATGATATACACTGAAATAGGGCTTAACATCTTTTTCCGAAATTTCACAACTTTTCGATGGTTCTTCCAAACACAAACTTCGTTGAAATTTATATTGTGTCAGTGTGGTAATTAAATATGCAGCAAATGATACGAAGAAATGCTTTTCAATCAAAAAAGATTATATAAAATGTACTCTTAAATATATCTGGAGGAAATCAAGTTTTCCAGTCCTTCACTTAAGATTATATTTTCTTGTAATAGCCAATGTATCTTTGGGTTTTTTTTTTTTCAAGTTTCTGAACTCTAAGAGTTACTTTAGCAGAAGTTTCACTGAAGGAGTATGGCAGAGGTGATGATGTGGCGTTACTTAGCATAATTGGTGGCACGGAAAACGTTCGTGTTACACTGGTACAATGTAGTCAATTCTTAGAAAAAAGATCGACGAGTTCTAATAGTCGATGTGATCCACCACCTAGAACAATGGGTGATGGCTTCGCAATTGTTCAAACGGCACATCTTAATTTCTTCTACAGTCAGTCTATTCTCGGTACATTTTTTTATATTCGCTTTACTTTTTAATATCTTTTATAGCCAATCTATGACAATGTGAAATTCGCAGTTTTAGCAATTTTACAACATATGCTTGAACTTTGCACATAAACTAGTGAAAAAATATCGCTTTGATAAGTTGATTTTAAAATTACAGAACTGTAATAAAAATTTGCAATGCGGCTCGTAGTATTCGTCTTTGAAATTTAATGATAGCAAAATTACAATTGATGAATTGAAATCTGTTAAACACTTTTACGTTATTCTTGATACTTTTATGGTGCTATACTTTTTCGGTTAGCTAATGCATTTCAAGGTGTTGTGAAAGAAGGTCAACAATCAATGACTGAAGATCTTCCAATTTGGGAATCCGTATGGCGATTCGATAAAAACACCGTGTTTTCATATGGTCCTTGGGCTGATGCGCAACGTGCTCTGCTCTACGATTTTTTCTTTCCACCAGAATATCGTAATTCGGAAGTAATGTATGTTTATAGTTATGTTATTTTTTTCTTGTCGCAGTAAATGTTTTTATTACTTTATACTCTTTATAATTTTTGGAACACAAAGTTTTACTTCACAATTTCTCGTTCTTACCCATTTTGCATATTTTTTTTTTTTTTTGCTGGAATAATAACTTTGCTGGTGAGTTCTATATTTCAGAGTAATGCCAAAAGAAGGCGAGCGACGAATTCTGTTATCACATGATATGAGAATTTCATTGTGGAATGATGCAGCAATTGATATATGGTTTATGAGAGGGGACGAACTGAATGCTTTACATTTACGTGTTAAACAAGGCTCTTCTGTTGATGTAATTGCTTTAATAATTTTAGTTTCAAATCATATGAATTGCAGTATTTTAAAATATAAAAATTTGGTTACAGAATTAAAAATAACTCATTGTTACACATTCCAGTTGAAAATGCCTTGGGTGACAACAGAGAAAGGCTATGAGACTGTCCTTCGTTGCTGTCTTTTATTCGTTGAATCGTCCACTTCTCTTGCATATCCAAAATTTTTCCAGTGTGAAACCTTACGTTTAACACTTAATGTGCATTATCCACTCATTTTCAATGGACATCAAATGTGGAAATGTGCTATTAAAATTAATAAAGCAAGCACTTGGATCGTGTGGGATCATAAGCACTTCTTTGCCGTATATTTTCTTGAAAATGAATTTTCTGAAATTTGTAACTTTTGAATTTTTAAAACTTTCTGGAAATTCCTTTTTTCCATTTTAATTTTTGCAAGAAAAACTCAAGGATCCAAGTTTCTATTTCTGAATTTATTATGCGGAGCAGATGTTCAGTTAAATTTGCTTATTTTTTCCTAGGATTTGATCAATGAATGGACTTCAAATTCACTTATGGATTTGTTTAAATTCGTTCCATACACATGGGAATTCGAAATTAATGTTATGGATAGTTTTGAACTTACATTACTGTTGAATGAACATAACTGGATTGATGCCAGGTAAATCAATACTTTTTGGGTGCTTTTCGGAAAAAAAGTGTTTTTCCTATTTTTTGGGTGCTTTTCGGAAAAAAAGTGTTTTACAATTTTAGTTCTTCAGTATCTGCGGAAAATCATTTAGCTGCTATTGTGGGCGAAAATGTGACAATGTCGTTCGCCTTACCGCTTGTCG